GGTTGTTGATAGATCTTCCACCAATCCTGACCCCACATTTCTCCTCGTAGAGCCCAGCCTCTCGGATAATCTGTTCTGCATACAGGTTGAAAAGGTATGGAGACAGGACACATCTCTGGTGGACACTCTTCCCAATTCTGAACCATGCAGTGTTTCCTTGCTCTATTCTGACGACTGCCTCTTGGTCCAAGTATAGGTTTCGCATTAGCATGATCAAGTGTTCTGGGATTCCCATTCTTCTCACAGTCAGCCATAGTTTGTTATGATCCACACAGTCAAATGAATAGAATTGTCAGGCGATGTTGACAAATCCATAAACTTAGAAATGTTAAATATTTCACACTTCAAGGACAACAAATGTCTTACCAGTATGTTTATAATATTTGTCAATTCCCATTCATCAAGTTCAGTAAGTATAATGCCATAGATATAGGGGGTTTGGCACGATAGCCTGTAGAACACTACACATGAGATTTTTCATAGAGAAGAATAGACAATGGCAGGGAGTTAGGATTGCTATGGCCTTTAGGTAATGCCATGGATGTGTGATGCTACACCTTCTAGTTGAAAACAAAAAGTATCTGATGGAGTACATTAACAAATAAAGAAAAAACGTTCTCTAATTACTGGCTGGTAAGTAATAGCGCATATAGTGATTAGTCTAATAGAGACCGCAACAACTATAACTGGAATTATAACTTCACTTATGGAACGCATAAATATTGACATACTAGGCACTGGTGAGATGAGACGGATAGGCATGGGGCATTTTGAGTCGGATGATCATATGATATATTACTCTGGAGATGAAAAGGTGAGGAAAAATGGGATTGCTTTCTTAGTTAAAAAAGTCATTTCTAGATCCATCTTGAAGTACAATATTGTGAGTGACAGGATAATATCCATACACATACAAGGAAGTTCAGTGAATACCACTATCATTCAGATATATGCACCAACAACCAGAGCCAAAGAAGAAGAAATAGATTATTTCTACCAACTCTTAGAGGCAGAGATAGATCGAACATGCAATCAAGATGCATTGATAATAACGGGTGACTGGAATGCAAAAGTTGGGAACAGAGAAGAAGATTCAGTTGTTGGAAAACATGGACTCGGTGACAGAAATGAAGCTAGAGATAGAATGACTGAATTTTGCACAATCAATGACTTATTCATTGCAAATACATTTTTTAAAGAGACATCAACACAGGTTGTACACATGGATTTCACCTGATGATATGCATAGAAATCAGACTGATTACATCTGCAGAAAGAACCACTGGAGAAGCTCAATATCAGCTGTGAAAACTAGGCTAGGAGCTGATTGTGGAACAGACCACCAACTACTCATATTCAAGTTCAAGCTGAAGTTGAGGAAAATTAAACCAAATCCCCGGGAACCAAAATATGACTTTAAGTCTATCCCACCTGAATTTCAGAACTATCTCAGGAATAGGTTTGAAGCCTTGAACTCTAATGAGTGAAGACTAGATGAGTTGTGGGAGGATATCAAGGGTATCATCCAGGAAGAGTGCAAATGGTCATTACAAAGACAGAGGAGGAAGAAAAGACCAAAATAGATGTCAGAAGAAACTCTGAATATTGCACTGGAGCACAGAGAAGCCAAAGCAGAAAGAAAAATTCAAGAGCTGAACAGAAGAGTTCAAAAGGTAGCACCAAATGACAAAGTAAAATATTACAATGAAATGTGCAAGGAGCTGGAGTCAGAAAAGGGCCAAACTCACTCAGCATTTGTTAAGCTCAAGGAACTGAAGAACAAATTCAAACCTTGAGTTGCTATAATCAAGGATGCATTGGGCAGAATATTAAATAATCCAGGAAGTATTAAAAGAAGACGGAAAGAATATACTGAGTCACTGTATCAAAAAGAATTGGCAGACACAGAAGAATTTAATGAAACAACATATGAGCAAGAGCTTATGGTGATGAAGGAAGAAGTTCAGGCTGCTTTGAAGGAAATAGCAAAAAATAAGGCCCCAGGAATAGATGGTTTACCAATTGACATATTTCAGCTAACAGATGCTGCCCTGGACGTGCTCACCAAGTTGTGCCAAGAAATCTGGAGAAAACCACTTGGCCAACTGACTGACTGGAATATCTCATTACTATATAATTAAATTTTCAATGAATTCTTTTTAAAGGAAAATAAAAGGGTCCTACGAAAAACTGAATTATCTACAATTAGCATTGACAAAGAACGTGGATAAATGCAGAATCCAAACAGATTAATAAACAGAAAAGGACCAGGAGTTCACTTGTAAATAAGCCAGGTAGAATTCACCTAAATATGTCCCAAGTCCCTTTACAGTTTTTTGTTTTTGTTTTTTTCATGGCTGTCAACTCAGTAGCTAGAGATTGTGCTTTTGTGGTAATATGTCTGCCACTTCAGTAAAGTCTTCTGAGCAAGTTAACTACAGAGAGAGATCCCTCCACTTACAGGGGAACACACCCACCTGGCAAAGGCGATGCTGCCTCTGAAGCTCTGGAGAAGTCGGGAATGACGTTTGGGAAGGGGATGCTGATGGTGCTTCCACTGTGGGGACTGGAGAAGCCGCTGGAAGAAGGGGAGATGGAGCCAAAGGAGCGGTCCCCCTCAGAGGCCCGCTTCTTCTCAGGAAGAGGAGGCTGACCAGGCAGGGTCATCACTTGGGCCTGCAGCACTGGGCTGTGCTGGCCACTGTGTCCAGGCATGACTGAGAGGAAGTGATGGGGCAGGAAGCCACTGTCAACAGCTCCTGCTGTGGCCACTGGAGCACTGAGGGTGGTGGCAGCTGCATGAGAGCTGACCAGCAGGGCATCTGGGGTCTCCCCAGGGGGAAGGCTGCTGCCCACAGCAGCTCCACTGAAGTTCAGGAAGGATGGGCCACCCTCGGCTCCTAGAGGTTCTGGGGGTGGCTCTACCAGGGAGATCTCATGTCTGCTGAAAGAGCCCTGGAGCTCTGATGGTGGGAATTGGGTCAATGTTGAGCCATCCTTCATGGGGCTAGTGAACTCTGAGGTGCCAAGAAGGCCCCCTGTGGGCTGGCTGCTCCCCAACATGGACAGCGTGGATTTCGGGTTCATCTCTAACCACTGGTGTTCTGCAGATGAAGAGCTGTGTGGAAGAGGAGGAAATCAGAGGCATGTCAGAGTGAGATTCCTCAAAGTGAAGGACTGCTTGACAGGATTCAGTTCTGGGGACCGAAGTTACCATGTGCCACCCAAAGTATTTCTGAAACTGTGGAACACAAATAGACAGAGGTAGAAAATCCCTCTGGCAATTCTACATTCTGGGCCCTTGCTGCCCTCACCACTGATACGTTCAGCCTTACACTCCATCGATAACTTCAGCATTTAAAAAGTGTTCATCATCCATCTATCTGCCTCTCCTCTCAAGCAAATGCTCCTCAGGTAGAGGCAAAACTCCCTCTTCCCCCATTTTCCTCATCTCCCCTTAATGCCCAACCTAATACAGCCCTTTTCAAGGGCAGCCTGGGTGAAGCAGCTAAATGAGGGCTACAACTAATGATATAAATCACTTTACATTTAGGAACACAGAAAGATAGCTACAGAAACACCACAAAGTATATAAATACATCCATATACTGTAGTCACAGTAATCTATTTCATTAGCAAACACTTAATGTGGAAGTGGATGCAAAGTTCTTAAATGAGACTGTAACAATACGATGAAGGAACTACACTAGGGAAGGAATGCGCCAATAGACAGGGGGTGTAAGGAGACACAGTGCTGCTCTGGGAAGGGGCCAGTCCCACATGCAGAATGCTCAAAAGCAGTCTCTTTGTAAAATACAAAGTCTGTGCTCTCCATGACCCACTTTCCTCTATATCCCTGTCCCACGGAAGGTACTATTCTAACACTTTCCCTGTGTTTCTGGCATTCCTGTGTTTCTCCATATGCCACCACACACGCCAGGTCCCCAGGGGACAGCATGGTCCTGTCCATGCATCCCATACTCCATCCCCTACTCCAATGAGCACATCAATCTCTGCCATGCTGGGGAAAAGACCTGGCCTGTTCTCCTTCAAAATACCCTCTCTAACCTCAACATAGACCATTTGGGCAGGTCATGTTTTTATGGGAGGATCATTAACATCTCTAATTCCAGTCACCTGGGCAGCCCTAAAACGCCTACTAAAACGCGAACTCCAACTCCCTGCCCATTTCTAAAGCACTCTGCCTCCTCATAGATAAGGATGAAAGATTTGCAGCCACAATATCTTATGCAGATTCATTACTATCAGTTCATCAAGGCAGCACTGGTTCCTCCAGGCACCAATCTGCCTATGACTTATAGTCCTGGTCCCCTACCTAGGCCTTTGGGGCTGTGTACTAAGTTTAAAGACCATATTCTTACCTTTCTCTCCTCTGGACAGGGCTATTGTTCGAAGTTGTACAGGAAGATAAAAAGGCCTGCTGAAAGCAAGATGTGCTTGGCACATCAGTCCAATGCACTGCAGAATTGGGCCCAGTGGGGCTCTCTGACATCCCCACGGAGCGATTCAGGGTCTCTGGGCAGCTGCGTGGGTCTGCAGGGAGGAGAAGAAAGGCAGATATAAGGGTCTGATGGGTTCAATTTTGAGAGTAGTTAATGGCAGCTTACTTTGGAAAAATCAGCTTGAAAGGTGAGTAACATCTAATTCTACTCATAAGTCTGTTACAATGGCAGTGGTACCGGTACACATGAGGGTGGAGACGCCTAAAAGCCACATGCTGCCCATGTCTACACCAACTAAGAACTGAGAATAAAAGTAATGGCAGTATCCACCAAGTGTCCCCAAAACAGAAATTTCCCATGACATTCCCCACAATGTTCAACAAATTATTGTGTGCTGATCAATATCAACACTTGTGAAGCCTTTGAAATCCCTGTGACTGCAGGAAATATGCATTGTAGTAATTGAGCTGGCCTTGTCAGGGCCTCTGTCCCCAAGGAAGTCTGATTTGCCCATAGTGTGTATGACCTAGTTTATTTCTAACTTACAAGGTGCTGGCTCTTCTTTTTGCAAAGCAGCAGCTGATGTAACCAGCAGGGATGTTCTACACCAAAATGATACACCTTCTCTGAGGTGCAGGACCTTAGTGGTGGGTTGGTAGGATGCTGGTTTAACCCTTTATTTTGCTCCCAGATTGTCTGTAGAACCTGTGTATTGTATAGTTCGTGATGATAAGCAATTGCACACTGACCCACCCGCTTGCTGCATGTAACTTATTATCTGCATGACTCTGCTCACATACAAGTGTCACTACTCACATACAAGTGTCACTACTCACATAGATGAGGAGGAAGCTGCCTGGCCCAATATTGCCTGCAAAACGTCAGGCACCACACACTCTATAAAATCCTGTTAATCCCATCTACAAAATGCCTGTTCTTCTGTGGTCCACTATTATTTTTGGATATTTTTAAAACCTTGCCTGTTTATTTTTCCTCTTTCCTAATAAAAGGCCTTTAAGAATGAAGCATATCTACCAGTCATTTTGTTACTTCTGCTTTAAGACTAAGATGGCTTGATAAGAGAATTATATAATAAGACAAAGCCAACCACATTTTCCAAATGACTCATATTATTCAAAACCAACTGCTATTCCATTGATTTCTGGGTATTACTTTTTGCCAATGCCTTCACTCCAACTTGAAGTTCTTCCTTCATTACCATTGGGTCTTATTCATATGTTGTTGTTGTTGTTATGTGCTGTCGAGTCGTTTGTGACTCATCGTGACCCTATGTACAACAGCCCTAAACCCTGCTCTATCCTGTGCCAATCGCATTGCCTCTGACACACCCATCCCGATTACCCCAGTCACTGAATCAATC